TATCAGAGATTATCTTTTTTGACCTGTCTATAGGGCAGAGCAAACCACTAATTACTGAACATCTGCTCTTACTCATCCTACAATGACCCTCTGAGGCCCCAAGGCACCTTATCTCATTCTTAGCTCAGAATGTCATATATACCTCATTTTCCCTTTCTATCTGTGAACTTCTCATGTATGTGGTGTTTCTGACTCTCTCATTTATGTGGGGTTCCCATACGTATGCATGTAACTAAATTTGGTTATTATCTCTTGTTAGTCTGTCTCATGTATATTTAATTATTAGGCCAGCCAAAAGAACATCGAAGGGTAAAGTTTCTTCTTCCACCACAGAAGCATGTATAAAAGAGCATGAGTTCAATAAAAGGGTAGGCTGTGCTTATATTAGCTGTAGGTTACTGAGGCAGAGATATAAAGTAGAAGGGAAGTCTGAATGAGGGATATCAAATTTGTGTGGGGTTATACAGGGGGTAGAAGAAGCTATAGGAAGATATCCTCCAGAAATATTGAGTACAGTGAAGAAAGAGAAAGGTTTAGGGCAGAATTCTGAGGAATATCAGCATGTTAGGTATGAGTGGGCAGAGAAAGATCTGTGAAGGAGAATAAAAAAAAAATACTCAGAGGTAAGAGGAAGTATATAATGGAAGACAAGGGTTAACAGAGCTTCAAGAAGAGTATAAGGATAAATAAAAGCCCCAAATAGGAACTCAAATAAGACAATCTTTACCAATTTTGCCTATTTCTAAGCCTTTTCAAATGCATAACATGATACAAGGCTTAGTAGAAAGATGGTTGACTTGCCTCACTTCTGTCGCTTTGGACATGCCCATTAAGTACTTGGAGCCTCATATTCACATATGGGAAATAGGAGACAAATTAAATTTTTATATTTAGAGGACTGATGTAAGAATATACAGAGTTCTCTGAAAACAGTACTTATTTTGTGTGTAACATATACAGCAGTGGGCAAAAGTATGTTGACAATAAATAATACAAAATAAATTTAACAATACAACCATAAACTCTGTGTTACATGTACTCACAATGTGTAAATCTACTTTTGCCCACCCCTGTATATTGTCTAGGCTCTGAATACTTAATAAAACTTTTTCATGATGATTACCATTATCACAACGAATAAGCTAAACTCTCATCTAAAGCAAAAGCTTAATTGCCATGCTGTGCTAAAGCAAAGTTAAATTTCACCAATATTTTTATTCAAATAGAGAATAACTTACATTGTGAAGAATTTCAGAAATGAAGTGCTCTCCCATTCAAGAAGAGGAAAATTTTTTGCAGCCATTCTTCAATACCAGTCCAATTAAAGTTCTGTTCATTTAAGTTGTTCTCTTCTAATCCTGGACTGGTATGAAATGCAATGATGTGTGGCAACTGTCCATAGTAGGCATTACAGTAATGAATTTCTTAGAGTCCTATTTCTTAACTATAATGAAAATATCACCCACCTATACCGTATAAGCAAGATGCTAATGTAGCCATGAAGATCTTGGCAGCATTTGCTGAAGTGGATGAAACCAATGTTAGAAACTCTGTCTTGCTAAATATTACTTTGCATTCTTCATTATAGGTAAGCACTGAATACATACATATTCCATAAATACTGGTTCTTGTACCTAAAGAAGGTACAACATTTTTCTTAGATTCCATGCCTTTACTAAGAAAGTCATTAAGTCTAAACTTGGAAAAAGTTGGAGTTATTATTTTCCTACCATCATTGCAGAATTTAAAAATATTTATATTTTATTGATTTCAGAGAGGAAGGGAGAGGAAAAGAGAGATAGAAACATCAATGGTAAGAGAGAATCATTGGTCAGTAGCCTCCTGCACACCCTCTACTGGGGATAAAGCCCGCAACCCAGACATGTGCCCGGACCAGAAATCGAACCATGAAGCTAGGCGCACTGAATATTAATCATGCGCCATGCGCTGGGAGCCAGAAGGCAGGAAACAGGCAGGGTGGGCGCTCCAGGTGAGCCTCATGAATATGTATCACTAGCACAAAGGCATACAAGGCCCATGTGGCTCAGTGGTTGATGTACTTTAAAAAAGTAGCATGTGTACCATTCCATGTCAAGGATGGTCTGTTAGCAATAATGAAACATCACACAACAGGGAGAGAATAAAAACATCCCAAGGATGACTGAACAAGTAGGACAAGGAGGGAAATGAAGGGAGTGAGAAGTGGCCTACCAGGAAAGGGAAGGTTTTTGGTCACAAATTGCCTTTTTCATAGTCTTGCCTAAAGTTAGAGCAGAAACATTTAGTCTATGAAGACTTATCAATTCACTTCTGTCCAAAGAGAAAAGGTAACTGGGAGGGGGTAATATGGTCTGTGTGCTGGGGAGGTTTAGAGAGGATAGAAACTCAGTGCTCTATGAATGAACTCACAAAATTAAAATAAAATAACATTTCAGCTTAAAATTTCACATTAGTTATATACATATGCATACCCTGGCAAATTTAGGGCATCTTATTCAGATTACACACACACACACACACACACACACACACACACACACACACATGAATTGAGGATCCTAAATCATCATATGTGGCTAATAATATTAGTAATAATAGACAGACTGAGAGACTCCACTCTAGGGAGGATAAAGGGCATTAAGGGCCCACAATTAGACCATAATAGATGTCACTTTCCTAGTATGCATTGGGTGTGGCCCTGCCCCTAGGCAGTGAAACAGACTCAAGCACCTACCTGTGAGCATAGGTTCAATGCTTTCTTTTAAGATGCAGGCATGTTTGGAGAGGTAATAAGATGGTATCTATAAGGAATTTAAATTCTTAAGACAGGCCAAAAACAACTTCTGTGCTGTGTTATTATCACCCTGTGAATCACTCAACACAATAATAACCAGTCCTACTATGATGAGATTCTGGAACCTCAACCACAATTAAAACTGGATTTGAATTTGTTTGACTGAAGTTAGGCTTTCATTATAGCTCTTGTCCATTTTTTCACAGAGTGTCTGCAAAGGTGATTGTTTCATCAAAGGCAAACCTTTGCAATCTTGGCTCACTTTCCATCCCAACTGTCCCACAAAGCAGAGAAGAGTTGGGCATGGACAGAGAAAACTCTCCATCCTCACAGAAGAGGGAACCTTCTGAATGTAACTAATCACAACACAGCAGCCAAGTGGCTGGAAGCACCAAGAAAATTATAGGCGAGCACATAGGACACAGAAGGTCAACCGGTGAATGTGGTTGGTAGACATAGTTTCGTAATCAGCTCAGAAAAATGCGGCTCTCCCTTTCAAATAAGAATTCGCAAGGACTCCAACTACTGTTTCTCACCTGGTGGGACAAAGAGATAGCTGGATCCATATTTCTTAGAAATTTCACTCTCCATGCCCCTTAAAAAATCAGGGTTCTCATAAAAATTGAACATATTAAACCGAATATATGGTCAAAATGTGAGAATTTGACATTCATTCATTCATTAACCCATGTTTTTGTTCATTCAATAACACATTATTATGCACCTATTTTATGCCAGATTCTGAATTAGATGTTGGGAATACAGAAATGTATAAGATCTTACCCTTGCGATTATCACCCTCAGCCTAGGGGAGACACTTAAGTAAACAGATAAGCACAGTGCAGAATGCTCTTGGCAATGATACAGGTAAGTTGGGATGTAATGGGACAGAAGAAGAGTATTTAGGGTCAGCCTGTGGCTGTGTGCTGTAATTGTACCTGTGCATGTATGCATGTGTGTAAGGCTGGGATGGGGGTAAAAGTGGGGAGAAGGCCAATTTAAAGAAGTCTTCTAGACCTGGCTCTTCTTTAGCTATGCATGTGGGAGCAAAAAGAAATAGAAAGCAGCCAATTAGAATGAGCCTGAAAAATATACAAGCCTGAGGAACTGTGTGTGCACAGGTACAGTGGTGTGAGAAAGCAGTTTCAGAACCCTGCAAGTAGTTCCAAATGACTACAGCATTCATTGCATGTTTGGTAGATTTGGAAAAAGAAGTAAACAAGATAAGGTTTCTAGATTTTTATCACCACATTGATAAAGAGCCAGGGAAGGGCTATGAAACCATTTAAAGATCATTGTGGCAACACAAAGACAAGTTTGAAGTTGTTGCCACTGGAGGCAGTAACCAATTAGGAGTCTACAATCTTTATCCACGTGAAAAGGGGAAAATGCCTTTACCTGAGATACTGAAGATGGTAAAAAATAAAATCTTTGTGAAGTGAAAAATAATAAACTGGAAATGAAGAGTGACCGGATACATGGGATACACAGGAGCTGAGATTTCTGTACTGTATAGGTATTTTTTAATATCATCACTATCCAGGTATACTTAAAAGCACAGGTATGTGTAAGGTGACTGTAAGAAAATAAACAAAGTGAACAGAGGTAAAGGCTAAGGAGAAAACCATAGAAAATATCAAACTTTAGTAAGTAAGCAGAGATGGAAGAGTATCTGATGAACATTAAGTGGCAAAATCAGAGAGGTGGAAGGAAATCCAGAATAGAGCATTACTCTCAGAAGCCAAGAGAGACTTTTTATGGAAGGAGGGGTTAACAATGCCCAATGTTGACAAAAGGTCCAATTTGGATCTTGAAAGCATAAGTTGAGATGTTAACTTGAATACCTACCAATATTGATGCAGGGATAAAGAAAATAAGTTTAGACCCTTACATGAAGCTCCTGATCTTGCCTACATACCTGTCATACATACATACATACATACTTTATTGTCCATAAATAGTTAACGATAATGCAAAAAAAGACCTAGTTAGGGACTGCAAAAAAAAAAAACCCTCTTTAATAAGTCGTATTTCAATGTTGTTATATTGATTCTCAAATTTCAACAAATAAGATGTAGGAGCGCACCTCTGAAATTATCCTTAATGCTCCTACCTTTTAGTCTTCATGCCTTTGTGTAATCCCCTCTTCTTGAGTGTGGCTGGAATTAGTGACTTGCTTTTAAAGAATAGAGTGCAACAGAGATGCGGGGATGTCACTTCAGATTAGGTAACAAAAAAATGTGGCTTCCATCTTGCCTCGCTCTTTGTCTCTGTCTCTCTGTTTCTGTCACTCTCTCAGCTCTTGAGAGCAAGCTTTCACATTATGAAGAGCCCCATGGATAAGCCTTCATGTCAAAGGACTGATATCCCCATAGGACAGCCAGCAAGGACCTGAGGCCTGCCAACAGCCACATGGCTAAGCTTGGGACTGGATCTAAAGGCATCAACAGTCTGGGAATGAGCTTGGAAGTGGATCCTTTCCAATTTGAACCTTGAGATACCTGCAGCCGCAGCCAATAGCTTCATTGGGTCTTTGTGATAGGCCCTGAACCAGAGGCACCCAGCTAAACTACCCTGGACACCTGATGCACAGAAGCTGTGAGATAGATGTATGTTGTTATAAACCACTAAACTTTGGTGTAATTTGTTACACAGCCATAAGTAACAAGTACATAGGATAAACATCAGGTACTTATGTTCATCAAAATGCATTTCTCTGTCTTAAAATATACCTTCAGACATCATCTCAACCAGATGTGATAATATTGTAATACCAAGAATTTCAGGGACACAGTGTGTCTCCTAATTGTTTAAATACAAATCCACAACTTTCCTACTTAACCAAAAATCAATAGCAATTACAGTTTTTAGAATTTCTTAACATTATAGCCGCCCATGTACTCAATTCATAATGGAAGCTTAGAGATGCAAGAGAGGTCATCCTAGTGCATTCATTCCCTGCCAGCCAGAAACAGAACTGGCCACCATCTCCCCGCTTTCCTGGTGATTAATTCATCACACCTGTCGTTCCTAGCCTATGCCTTCCTCAGCTGGCATCCTGTGCTTTCTGTTTACTAGACTCAGAAATGCCATGTGTCCTAAACCTCCTATCCTCATGTATAATCCTGTGCTCAACTCAAATGTTTCTTGATTGTATTGGATGTTATCACATCCTATTGACTGCCTGGAGTTTGCGGTTATCTCCAGAGGGTGTTCATCCTTTTGTAATTAACAGCTTATTTGATTCAATGGTAGCCGAGGTCATGCTGTGTGTATTTTACCATTCTGAGTTTGCAGGGGTATTTGCCCTTCCCTTTGATATCTTTATTTTAATTACTTCTGAGATTTGTGTCTGTATCAGAGGATGTTGAGCGTGAGTTATTTTAAACACCCCTCTTCTTCTTAATATATTTTGTGAATGCTTCATTCACTCCTACAAGGCACCACGCCAGGCTTATCAGGCATTTCCTTTCTGCACTTATTTTTATTTGTTTTTTGTTTTTTGGCTCAGCTCCATTTTCCTCGTATCTTAACAACCAATTTTCAGTTTGCATATTTTGACGCAGACATCACAAAGGGCTAGCTGAAGCCCTCCCAGGTGGAAGTTAAATAAATTCCTGGGGATAAAAACCGAACATATTTTTACATCTCGTTTCTACATTTTCTGAATCACAAAATGTAAGATGAGTAAATATAATCAGCTTTCATAATGTATTCTGAAACTTTCTTCAATTACCCAAAGAATCTTGCAGGCCAGTGAGCACAAAAGGCTTCCTTTTAGGTACAAATGATGAAGTTTGTTTGAAATTTAAAAATATAATAAAATAGCTCCATGTTACCTGCTGTTGTTATCGTTTACTTAGTTTAGGGAAATATCCTTTATTAAAGGCATGCAATAAAGGTTTAATGTAAAATCTGTCACGTAGGAATATTTGCAGCTTCCAAAGAACAACAACAACAACAACAAAAAAAAAATCTGTTTTTTTTCCCCCTGAGGAGAGCAAGGTTAAATAGGCTTCCAGTTTATTGAAATAATCACTGCCATATTTTGTCTTCAATCAATTTGGCTTTTGCATTTGGTTAGGGACAACCTAGTTATTCAAAGATGGGCACACAGATTGGCAAACAGGCATATTTAACTTTGTAACCAATTCATACAATTATCCTAGCCCTTGGTCGGCAAACTGCGGCTCGTGAGCCACATGCAGCTCTTTGGCCGCTTGAGTGTGGCTCTTCCTAAGCCTTAGGAGCACCCTAATTAAGTGAATAACAATGTACCTACCTATATAGTTTAAGTTTAAAAAATTTGGCTCTCAAAAGAAATTTCAATCGTTGTACTGTTGATATTTGGCTCTGTTGACTAATGAGTTTGCCGACCACTGTACCATTAAGCAGGACTTATAAGTTGGCTGGAACATAGGTATTTAAAAGCAATGATGGAGAAAGCCAAACAGTTAAACAGCCTGAAAGAAAGAACCAAGACTAAATTTCAAAAGTCAAGGCAGGCTATGTTGTGATTTCAGGTGGCCAGACTAGTAATAAAAAAGTTGGCTATCTAGTCTACAAGGATAATGAAGATACAGATTTCTGACTTAGTTTCCCCACTGTAACTGAGATGTAACTTTCTGGGCAGCTGCAGCATTCTGCAGAGAGTCACCCAACTGACTCATCCTTCCAGAATATCAACTAGACATTCGCAAACACATTTTTTCCCATTGAAATTATGCCATCAGTAATACAAGTGAACTATATTTTTCTATGCCCATTGGTCCCCTGGATGTTCCCTGGTGATGACTATTTAGATTCAACACTAACAACATGATTCATAAAAGACATAATTGATAAGATGGACTTATCAATAAGTAGTCAATTATATGCAAAACCAATTAAAATATCTCAATAATTAAATTGCATGGGACCTGCATATCTAAACAATAGAAGAAACTGAAATAATCCAGAAATAGACTGAAGTGTATAAAAGAATTTAATATATGATCAAGGGCACATCTCAAATCAAGGTAGAGATAGCAATGCTTTTAAAAATGGTTTTGGAAAAGTTGGGTAGAACGACGAGTCCCTATAGAGTATTTTCAGATGTTGGTGAAATAAGGAAATCCCCTCCCCACACATCACACTGGGAGTTTCAGATTGTTTCAAGAAAGAACCCGTGAGAGCAGCCAGGGGGAGGCTTCCCTTTCCAGACTCGGAAGCACAGAGATAAGGCGACTCGCCCAACGTAATGTAGTGGCACTGCCAGGCGCCAGGGCTAGTCCTGACTCCTGTCCTGGACGCATGGACCCCAAGCCCCGTGGGCTTCCCTTTGCACCACACTATTTCCAGCAAGGCCCTCTGATGTTGGCAGCAAAGAGGAGAAAATATCGATATTAGCATTTCCCAAAAGGAGTTCCTTGAAGGATCAGTCTGGCATGGCAAGCCATTTCTCTCCTACACACACACACACACACACACCCAACTTTCATAGGCAAAAACGTTTGGGCAAATGTTACATTTCATTCTGAAATGGTCAGTGCACAAAACAACTCCCCCAAGTCCTGCCACAATAAAGCCTGCTTAACTTTATTTAATACAGCATTTCTATGGAACTCCTTTTCTACTAGTATATCACACTATATTAATACTATAGAATAGAGTACGATTAGAAAACTGCTATAGACTCATGTAAAAGTAAAATAATTGCCTAAAGTAGGCAGACAAGGAAAGAAAGTGGGGGAGGAGGCGGGTAATTGCCCCAATTCTCCATTTTACTTTATAGTCCCAGGCCTATAATTAAGTGCGTTCCCCTGCCTCTCCCAGCCGCGTGCGGCTGAGTCACCCATGCCTGCCATCTACAGTCTGGGACCTGCCCAGGTTCTGAACTGAGCCTGAGAACGATAGGGAGTGTGCAGGCAACCCAGCCCTGCAGACACGGGATTGGCGTTAGGAACACTGATATTGATCTCACGGAGTCACAGGTTGCTCTCCTCCCTTGCTATGTTGGTTGAAGTCATTTGAGAGTTTTTACCTCCATTTGGTTTCTGGTATAAATTTCATCCAGAATCCCAGTCCCCATCTTTAGCAACCTCTTTTTCCAGGACTACAACCTCCAGCCAGCATTCTTTTCATATTCCTGAACTTCCTTCCAGGCATTGGCTGGGGTCTGAATATGAATGAACTATTACTAATATTATTATTATCATCATGATTACTTCTACCTAGGCCCAACACTATCATCACCCCAATAGCATGCCCCACACCCATGAAGAAGTCCCTACCCGTTCCCCCTTCATTCCAGCCCTTGTCTTATATTTCTTTTTCTTGACTAATTTGTTGACTATAACAACTTCCAGTACAATGTTGAATAGAGTATCACAAGCAGTCATCCTTGTCTTATTTCTGATCTTAAGGAGGAAAGTTTTAAGACTTTCACCATTGAGTATAACGTTAGCTGTGGGTTTTTTTCAAATGTTCTTCATCATGTTGAGGGAGTTCCTTTCTATTTATAGTTTATTGGTGTATGCTTTAAATCATACAAGGGTGTTCAGTGTTGTCCAATATGCTAATCTTTGACAAAGGGACGAAGACAATATGATGGAGAAAAGATAGCCTTTTCAACAAATGGTGCTGAAACAATTGACATCTAAAGGGGAAAAAAATATGAATCTAGACACAGACATAGCCTTCGCAAAAGTCAGCTCATAATGAATCATAGACCTAAATGTAAAATGTAAAGCTATAAAACTCCTAGAAGGTAAATAGGAGAAAAATCTAGATGACCTTGAGTCAGATGATGACTATTTAGATTCAACACCAACAACATGATTCATAAAAGACATAATTGATAAGTTGGACTCCATCAAAATAAAAAAAATAATGTCTTTTGCTCTGTAGGATATACAGATGTCAAATATGGAGGCAAATTACTAAGTGAGTGAAGGTAATCAAAAGGCTGCATACTGTATGGTTCCAACATCTGATAATCTGAAAAAGGTGAAACTATGGAGACTGTGAAAAGATAATTGATCACTAAGTGTTACAGGGGAAGAAGAGATGAGTAGACACAACACAGAGGATTTTAGGGCAGGGAAACTATGCTATATGATACCATACTGACGGATATTTGTTGAAACTCATAGACTACAACACCAAGAATGAACCCTAATGTAAACTATGGACCTTGGGTGAGAATGATGAATCAATGTAAGTTCATTCATTGTAGCAAATGTACCTACCTTTCTGGTGCAGAAATTTTAAGCAGAGGAGTGATTTGATCTGGCATTTAAAAAGATCCACTCAGCTTTCTATGTCAAGTTAAACAATAGGAGGACAAGGGAAGACACATGGAGACCAGTTAAGAGGATACTGCATAATCCAGAAAAGAAATGCTGATAGATTGCAACAGCATAATAGAAATAGGGAGGAGACTGGAGTCTCTATATAAATGTTTCCATATAACTTAATGACTGGGATGTCAGGTGTGAAAGAAAAGAAGACATAAAGGAGGACTTCTTAGTCTCCTTTGTCTGGATCATATGCTAGAATATAGTACATGGAATAGTAGACTACCAACTCTGTAGCAAGGGACATCTGAATGAATTCATCACTCACCAGTAATGCGACTGGAGTCCCAATGACCTCATCTAACATGGTATAAGAACAACAAGTTCCCAAAAGTCGTGAGTGTAAAACAAGATAACAATGCAACACATCTACTTTTGTGCCTACATTGCAGTAAGAAATAAATGAGTTAAATTCATTTTACTTCTCACTCTTTTATAAACCTGGTAACAGTGGGCTCATTTTAGAGGTTCTTTGTAATTAAATGAAGCCTCCCTCCAGTTCTCAGACTTCCAATGCTATAAGCTCTCCTAATTGAAATTTTCAGTTTGCTCTCTTTAGAAGTATATACAGAGAGATCAAGAATACACTTCCCCCTGGATGTGAACTAGACATCAGGATCTGACTCCTAGAATCACAGCTTATTATAAATTTGAATGATCTCATTTTATTCTCCCTAACATCAGAGTCCTGCAGGGGACCACACCGTAGACATTTCTTCCTTTGCTTTCTTATCAAAGGAACCTTGGGGAAACTTTTACATGTTTTCTAGATCTTTTCCAATTAACAATGTGAAAGGGGTAATTTTATAAATTGAGGTTCTTGGACATTGTCACCATAATTATAATTATTTGGTTGATGGAAAGACATGAAAAGACAGAAGAAAAACATACGTTGCATTAACATAGGTTGAAGACATGAGGACATACCCAAATGTGTGCTGCCCTGATCGGGGACACTACAGCACTCCCTGTGAAAGAGGATGCTCCCTCAACCTTCAAGTTCCCACAGAGACAAACAGCTCCCCTGGATGGGCATACATATCCCAACGTGTTCATCAGAGAGATCCTGTTTACCATTCACATGGGCCAGTGATGGCGAACCTATGACACGCGTGTCAGAGGTGACACGCGAACTCATTTTTTTGGTTGATTTTTCTTTGTTAAATGGCATTTGAATATATAAAATAACTATCAAAAATATAAGTCTTTGTTTTACTATGGTTGCAAATATCAAAACATTTCTATATGTGACATGGCACCGGAGTTAAGTTAGGGTTTTTCAAAATGCTGACACGCCAAGCTCAAAAGGTTCACCATCACTGACATGGATGCTCTTAATCTCTTCTGCACCTTTCCAATTGTTTAGGCAACTTCAGGCTTGTGTCTTTCTACTAACCAGGTACAAGTAACAGATGAAACCACGGAAAAATTCTGTTTCCTGGAAGATTGATTGGCTCAGAGTTCATTTCTCCAAGCATCCCACCACTCTAGCCAAACTCAGGACTAACATGGGATCTGTAATAGGTCTTCTTCCTTATTCATAAAACCCTGGGATATACTTACTAGGCACAAAAGAGAGAAGGTTCACAGTTCCTTCTTTGTTAATTTTCCTCACAGCTTTGCTGTGACACCTCTCCTACTAACATGCACAGAGGACAAGAAATCCAGCCACGGGGCCATGCCTGAAGTTTGATTTGGTCTACAGGGCTTCTCCCTACAGCCGTCACAGCCTCGGCTTATCTCTAGTGTGTGTAGTAGATGCACTCTCTGGTTGGGGAGAGCTCCATGTGGTCACCTGCTCCATAGGAGGGAGGCAGATGACCCTGGAGCTCCAACAGGCCTGTAAGAATTTGCCCACCGGAGAAGCACTGAGCTACTTGGAAATTGAGGGGATTAAAGAAAGACCTAAAAAGGCAAAGGGAGGAACACTGGCCCCAGGGGGAAATAAGAACTGTTTAACATGTGCGGTGGCATCTCTGGAATTGATTTTTAATCAACAATAGTTCCCATTTGGTCCAAAAGTGAACCAATGAATAGACTAATACTACATGATTGACATTATGGCCCATTCATCTGCTAAAGTTGTTTGAAATTTTCAGCTGCCTGCAAAGGATTAATATTGATTTCTAGGCTGTCTTTGTTAAATACCTGCTATGGAGTACCACTCTCTTATTCTCCATGCCAACTTTTTCCCCAATTGCCACTAGCATCTAAATGAAACCTACCTATTATTAAATCAATCATGCCTGGCAAAACTATCCCAAAAGAAGAGAGCATCCATCATCTTTACCATCAGCATGAAGCCCGACTTTTTTTTCTTTTTGTTGGTCAACCAGGAATTGCTGGTACAGCTAATTACAGCATCCTTTCAGAACTAATATAAGAAACCAAAAATGAAATATGTGTGGAAGGACAGTGAGTTCAGGAGAGGCAAATTAACATTGTTATAGGTGCATAAGCATGCCTTTACCTTGAGCTTCTATCAGCTCAGTGCATGAGCCTAGGCTGATATGTTTAACTCTGGGGGGCCCAGTTTTTAAAATTTGGGTTTCATAATGCCTGAACTTATGGGTGGCAAACTTATGACCTTTTTTCTGATCACAATCTCTTACCTCCGGGAGCTTATAAACTACTAGGATAATTAAATATTTTTAAAATATATTTTTTATTGATTTCAGAGAAGAAGGGAGAGAGAGAGAGAGAGATAGAAACATTAATGATGAGAGAGTCATTGATCAGCTGCCTCCTACACGCCCCACGCTGGGGATTAAGCCCACAACCCAGGCATGTGCCCTGACAGGGAACTGAAACAGTGACCTCCTAGTTCATAGGTCAACATTCAACCACTGAGGCATGCAGGCTGGGTGGAGAGGTAAGTCTTATAAACAAACAATGTACTTTAAACCGACAGACAAAGGGTCCAGACCCAAATCACAAGCATAATCATAATAACTTATCTAATGTACTTTTCAAAACAAACATTTTTTGAAACTGCTGTTTTCCCTATTTAATAGACAAGGGCATTGACACTTAGAAAACTTAAGTCACTTGCCCAGCTCCCAAATCTGTGCTTGTAAACTGTCCTGTGCTGTGTTTGTTTTGGTAATAGAGGGGTCATTTCCTGCTTGGATAGTCAAGGAAGTCATCACGGAAAAGTGAAGTAGAAATTTGTCCTTAAGTGATGGCCTGCACCAATTTTCCCCCTCCAATTTCATTGACATAATATTGTGTAAGTGTAAGGTGTACAATGTGATGATTTGATATACATGTATGGTATATTGTAAAATGATTACTACAATCAGATTAGTTAACAAATCCATCACCTCATATAGTTACCTTTGTGTGTTTGTGTGTGGTGAGAACATTAAAGTCTACTCTCTTAGCAATTTCCAAGTGTTCATATAATGCCATTAATTATACTCACCATTATGCTAAGCAAAATAAGTCAGACAAAGACAAATACTGCATGATCTCACTTGTATGTGGAATCTAAAAGTGAAACAGACACAGAATAGATTGGTGGTTGCCAGGGGCTGAGTGGACACATCTTAATGGTTTCTAAGAAGGTGGAATAGAATGAGCAAAGGCTGAGAGGCCAGTGCATCCATCTCTGGGAAGAATGAGTTGTTGGCTTTGGCTGGTGTGTAAGGTACATGCAGAGGGTAGCAGAAATATAGTATTGAAAGGTAGTTTGGATTCAGATTTAATAGGATTTTAAAAACTAACAATCAAATTATATGTTTTTTTAGCAATAGGACACTATTATATTTTTTTTCTTCCTAACTGCTGTCCCAAAAGCATTCTTTCTGAGTTAAGGCTATGGAGTACCACTCTCTTATTCTCCATGCCAACTTTTTCCCCAATTGCCACTAGCATCTAAATGAAACCTACCTATTATTAAATCAATCATGCCTGGCAAAACTATCCCAAAAGAAGAGAGCATCCATCATCTTTACCATCAGCATGAAGCCCGACTTTTTTTTCTTTTTGTTGGTCAACCAGGAATTGCTGGTACAGCTAATTACAGCATCCTTTCAGAACTAATATAAGAAACCAAAAATGAAATATGTGTGGAAGGACAGTGAGTTCAGGAGAGGCAAATTAACATTGTTATAGGTGCATAAGCATGCCTTTACCTTGAGCTTCTATCAGCTCAGTGCATGAGCCTAGGCTGATATGTTTAACTCTGGGGGGCCCAGTTTTTAAAATTTGGGTTTCATAATGCCTGAACTTATGGGTGGCAAACTTATGACCTTTTTTCTGATCACAATCTCTTACCTCCAGGAGCTTACAAACTACTAGGATAATTAAATATTTTTAAAATATATTTTTTATTGATTTCAGACAAGATGATTAGTGCTTCAAATGAAGCATAGTGTTTTAGTTCAGGTCTGTCAAGAAGCAGATATCAAGACAGAATTAGATGAGCAGGAGACTTAATTAGGGGAGAAAATAAGAGAAGATGGGAAGAGGGAGCAAGAGGAGGCAGAGAGAACCTTCAGGCAGACACTTACATCATGGAGATCAAGGAGAGAGGAAAGGAAGAGTAGGAAGAATTTTGGACTGCAATGCAGTTTCAAAAAGATTCAGCCAGGCCAGTGGGAAGCTCTTGAGCCCAAGTCCCTCTATGGTAGTGGTTCTCAACCTTCCTAATGCCACGACTCTTTAATACAGTTGTGGTGACCCCCAATTTCATTGTTACAAATTTAACATAATTAAAGCATAGTGATTAATCACAAAAACAATATGTAATTATATATGTGTTTTCCGATGGTCTTAGGCGACCCCTGTGAAAGGATCATTCGACCCCCAGTGATGATTTGATATACATGTATGGTATATTGTAAAATGATTACTACAATCAGATTAGTTAACAAATCCATCACCTCATATAGTTACCTTTGTGTGTTTGTGTGTGGTGAGAACATTAAAGTCTACTCTCTTAGCAATTTCCAAGTGTTCATATAATGCCATTAATTATACTCACCATTATGCTAAGCAAAATAAGTCAGACAAAGACAAATACTGCATGATCTCACTTGTATGTGGAATCTAAAAGTCAAACTCACTGAAACAGAATAGATTGGTGGTTGCCAGGGGCTGAGTGGACAGAAACAGACACAGAATAGATTGGTGGTTGCCAGGGGCTGAGTGGACACATCTTAATGGTTTCTAAGAAGGTGGACTAGAATGAGCAAAGGCTGAGAGGCCAGTGCATCCATCTCTGGGAAGAATGAGTTGTTTGCTTTGGCTGGTGTGTAAGGTACATGTAGAGGGTAGCAGAAATATAGTATTGAAAGGTAGTTTGGATTCAGATTTAATAGGATTTTAAAAACTAACAATCAAATTATATGTTTTTTTAGCAATAGGACACTATTATATTTTTTTTCTTCCTAACTGCTGTCCCAAAAGCATTCTTTCTGAGTTAAGAATTAGTATGCGAAGTAGAGGATAAGATGGTTAAAATGGGTGAGTAAAATACTGTTTGAGCGAATGTAATTCCACCACTGACAAAGCCCACCAGTAGTTAGCACAACAGATTTGCAACTCCAATTCTTAAAATGACTTGCTTAGCAGATACAGCCACTTTCATATTTACTTCTTATTATCCTTCCAATTGCTATAGTTACCAAGCATCCAAAGGAAGTTGTCAAGTTTCATTCCAAATTTAGCAAGTATGAGAGTAAGTAAATAAATTGAGGATAAATATAGAGGCAATTAGAAAGCATGTTAGGCCTAACTTAAAATATTTACATATCAGTTTTTAAACAATCACTTCAGTATCCATTTAAATATTACTCTTTCTGAAACGTTTTGAACACTCTGATTAAAATTGGAAAGTACTATTTCATCTGCCATAGACCTTAGGTACTCCAGGGTCCAATGTTCAGGATCTTTTTGCAATGTTTACTAACTTAGGGTGTCAACTTACTTCCTATCTTAGCTGAGACTCAGACAGTCTAACTGCATAAATAGTCACTACAGAACGCTCCTGGTTGCAATGGCTTTCCAGCTGCCAGATTTCTCCCGCCCTCTCCATTTTTCTTTCCTTGTACTGCTTGAGTGTAACTACATATAGGAAACTACATTACTGATCAGATTCTAACTTCCTCCACATCACAGTTCTAACAGAGCTCAAACAAAGACAACTCTTCAAGTTACTTTCTCCTTTTGTCTGGCGAGAAAGGCATTGTCATGGTGATTTGAAGAGGAGGGAAAACTCTCCCAGCTTTCATCCCTGCTTGGGAGGCCTGGGTGGGAAGGGAGGGAAGGGGTTCGTGATGACTGTACCATTACACAGAAGTAATACAGTAGATAGCGACCTGTAGAATGTGATTTGAGGGACCTCTGACTCACAGCATCCCCCTGGCCAGGCACTGAAATTCCCACACACAGAAGTTCTTAGGGGTCTTTAGGAATCTTTTATATCTTTATTGTTTGAAGCACTATATTAACAAGAAGATATATAATTAGAAGGCAAAAAGAGGATATCTTAATTCATTACTATTCATTATCATTCATTAGAGAGCAAGAAACCATGAGAATGAGACTCAGAGGACGCAACTCTGATGGTCAAGAGGAAGGTAAGTTGAGGAAAGCATAAGCAAGCTACCAGAGCACGTGTGTGTGTGTGTGTTTGTGTTTGGTAGAGTGACACAAGATGATTAGTGCTTCAGCTTCAAATGAAGCATAAATGAAGCATAGTGTTTTAGTTCAGGTCTGTCAAGAAGCAGATATCAAGACAGAATTAGATGAGCAGGAGACTTAATTAGGGGAGAAAATAAGAGAAGATGGGAAGAGGGAGCAAGAGGAGGCAGAGAGAACCTTCAGGCAGACACTTACATCATGGAGATCAAGGAGAGAGGAAAGGAAGAGTAGGAAGAATTTTGGACTGCAATGCAGTTTCAAAAAGATTCAGCCAGGCCAGTGGGAAGCTCTTGAGCCCAAGTCCCTCTATGGTAGTGGTTCTCAACCTTCCTAATGCCACGACCCTTTAATACAGTTGTGGTGACCCCCAATTTCATTGTTACAAATTTAACATAATTAAAGCATAGTGATTAATCACAAAAACAATATGTAATTATATATGTGTTTTCTGATGGTCTTAGGTGATCCCTGTGAAAGGGTCGTTCCACCCCCAAAGGGGTCGTGACCCACAGGTTGAGAACCGCTGCTCTATGGGGAGTTCTGCATCTCACTGGAAAGGGTCCACCCTATTACCCTCTCCATGCTCAGCATTAACTAGGAGAAGCCTAAGAGAAGCCTGGCTTTGGTATAAATGTGAGGGTTGATCCAGAGGGTCAGCAGATAGGACTGACCCCATATTGTATCATATCATGTGTCATATCATCATATATCATAGAGCTAATTATGCTCTCTAATGTGAGTGATACATTTTCATGGCCACCAAAAGTAACAATAATACTTATTCAGCCTTCAAAACTTTTATGTCAAACATAACCAGAAAAAAAGCTTTTGATATTTAGTAATCATTTCCATTGTATAAAACATTTATTTAGTTGCTATGTTATCATATACAATTAAGACATTTTATAATATAAAAAGCTAAGTGTGCAATATTGTTTGTTTTTCTTTTAATGACTTGCTTTCAAGGGCATCGCAAAACCCAAGGGCAACTGTTTACTAGCCTCATTGTATTAATGACTTAAACACATTCTTGAGAGAGAAAACCCCCTAACCCTAATGAGCCTTCCCTGGCAGTGATTCTCACTCCGTGGGTATTATAAGGTTATATCCAAATTGGGATGCTGTGGGATAATTTGAACTCTACCACCCATCACCATCACCATCACCACCAAATACAAGGCATGATTTGCTATGCCTGCATTTTTCAGAAAATTCCCCTCTGAGGATCACTGCTCTAAGGAAGTGAAGTTCAAATGTGAATATGCATAAAAGTAGAAGGCAGGGGGGCTTAAAACACATCTGTTTCAGTAGATCTGGGGTAGATACAATTAATGAGCATTTTTAATAAGTATCTCAGATGATTCTATATATCCAGGTGGGCCACACAGACATATTTCCAGAAGCACTAAATCAGGGCCATGATTGGCTATTCCTAATTTATAATGAACCAAATGTCATCTAGACCTAAGGGAGCCATGCAGCCGAATGGGGCATGGGCAGGATTCAGAGGGCACCGCCTGGTGAAGAAGTAGCAAGATGGTCAGAGGAATGGGGAAAAACCAAAGGATGGAGAAGTATATATGATCTATATATCTATATCCATCAAACTATCTATGTATCCCATCGTCAATTTCATCAGGAAATTCTGTTTCAGTTTAGACAATGGAAAGAAATACATCACAAAAAGTTATTGTTTTACATCTTCGTGTTTTATTTCCCTCTGGGTTATAATAATAAAATCTATCCATATATATATAATCTATCCATTATATTGTGTTGTTCACACACACATACTCACTGTTTTCTTAGTTCTTCTTAGCTTTACTTTAAATATAAAGGAATGGTACTGATCTTGCACATACATCTATCTATATATATAAAAGCCTAAGTGACCAGTCGACCAGTTGCTATGACATGCACTGACTACCAGGGAGCAGACACTCAATGCAGGAGCTGCCCCCCTGGTGGTCAGTGTGCTCCCATAGCGGGAGTGCCACTCAGCTGACTGGGCGCCAGACGCAGGTCTCATGGCTGGCCGCCGCAGCCCCAAGACTGCAGCAGAGTGGCAGTGAGCCTACCAAGCGGTGGCAGCAGGCACAACGGGGCCTGGATGAGCAGGAGCGGCAGGCGGCATTGGACTGCTGGTTTCGACCCAATCCCTGTAGGCCACGCAGAGGGACCCCACCAGTGCCCAAATCCATGCACCGGGCCTCTAGTATTATAATACAATGTATTATATATCCGGTCACTTGTTCCATAGAGTAGAAGGTGAGAGCCATGATTATTGTGTAAAATTATCTGCACAATGATAATATCAGCATAAGTATAGCCTTATTCTTGTTTTACAGTTTTCAGGCTACAAATTGAATATCAATGCCTGATGGAAAACTGAGGCCAGCCCTGGCCCAACAACTCAGTTGGTTGGAGAGTCATCATGTACACCAAAAGGCTGAGGGTTCAATTCCTGGTTAGGGCACATACCTAGGTTTCAGGTTCAATCTCCAGTACAGGAGGCAACTGATCAATGTTTCTCTTTCTCTCTCTAAACATCAATAAAAAAAACATATCCTTGGGTGAGGATTAAAAGAAAAATAAAAAGAACAAAAAGCAAAGCTGAAGCCAGCAAGTAGATGATAAACCATTGGGTTCAATCTCCGGTACAGGAGGCAACTGATCAATGTTTCTCTTTCTCTCTCTAAACATCAATAAAAAAAACATATCCTTGGGTGAGGATTAAAAGAAAAATAAAAAGAACAAAAAGCAAAGCTGAAGCCAGCAAGTAGATGATAAACCATTTAACCAGGGGGGCAGAGATTTTTTTTTAAATTCTCATTTTAGAGAGAAAGAGAGAAACATCAATTGGTTGCCTCCCAAATCCACAACAGTTTTTTTTAATTTTTTTAGTTTTATGTTATTTTAGTTTCATTTATTTTATGTTATTCCCAAACACCTTTTTTTAAAATAATCTTTCAAAACATAATGCCATTCATAGGCTGCATGACAAAAGTGCTGCTATGTCTCTGTGTACCCTGACTGGGTGCCAGATGCAGGTCTCATGGCTGGCCGCCGCAGCCCCAAGACTGTAGCGTAGTGGCAGTGCGCCTACCAAGCGGTGGCAGCAGGCACAATGGGGCCTGGATGAGCAGGAGCGGCAGGCGGCATTGGACCTGGGCTGGCCTCCCTCTTGTCATCACCCAGCTGATATTATTGTGACATGTTGACACTGCATTGTGACCCAGTGACCCGGAGCCTCCAGCAGCCTGGAAGGACAAGTTGACGAAGGCACATTAGGAGGCGGTGAAGCAGTTCATTACTGCTACGGAGAAGGCGTCTCCTCTGGAGACTAGAATTCCTACCTGAGACACAGACACTCTCAAATCTGCTTCCTGCCCTGCTACTGACTGACTGTGAGATCTATCACAAATCATTATAATTCACTGGTGACTCAGTGTTTCTGTCTATAAAATGGAAGTGACCCAGCATATATGATTATTTTTAATCCTAGGACAGTGATTGCATTTGAGGCCCATCCATGCTTCATAGAAATTTTGGAAGAGCACAGTTTGAGCAACTAAATTAAATGATGATCATACATGGTTGATTTCAGTAGTGTCATAGTTTGAGAACTATTTAGTGCCCTGTCTTGCTCTCCCTCCCTAAAAGGTCTCCCAGGATAGTCTAGCCATGAAATTCTTCTTTGGTCTTTACTTAACATTAACATTTGTTCCTTACATATTAATGATAGTGAGTTGTATCTCACTTTATATGGTGTTATGCATCCCACTCACCTCAAAATTCCGTCTGACAGATATTCCTTGATAGTATATAACCTCAATTACTGCAAAAGGATTATCCGTTGGTTCTGACAAGCAGTGTTTTCCTTGGAGATCATGTCACAGACTCAGATGGAAGAGTCAGTGTCTGAAGTCATGGCTTGTCTGAAGTGTCTAATGGGCCAGCTCCTGACCTGTTTTACAGACTGACCCTTTCCACATGGAAAATGCAACCTGGGACCTTCTGGGCTTAAAGTCCATGCTTTCTCAGGTGATCTGTGAACAGGAACATTCTGGAGCCCACACTCCCTTCACAAGCAAATGCCTTGCATACAGTAAAGCCCAGCCACTACCAAAATGCCCGTCTATTCTGCAGTGAGTAGCAGAGCTGCATCTTGGACCTTCCATTCCCAGCATTTCAGAGGCAGGCAGGGTGATGAGCCACGGGGGTAACCACAGCGGGAGTTCTTTAATCGAGCCACCAGGGGGCAGGGAACCATGCTTGCTTGCCACCTCAGCCAGGGGAACTTGGCCTGAGCTGTGTTTTGATAGCCTTGTTTGTTTTCTGAGCTATTTGAAGAGCATACTAATAAGTGTAGTCACAGAAGAAGGGGAAGATGGGATTAACTGCCAGGGAAAGTCATTAAAATGAAAGAATGGGATAAGCCTCACAACTATTTTCAAAGCTTAGCTATTTCCTGTCCAAAGCCAAGGCTCCTTTATTTGGTAAAAGATGAGTAAAATGAAGGCAAAAGCACGCTTATTCCCTCCGTGCCCTGTATTAGCCAAGTCCTGCTAACAGGAGACCGTGTGGTGAGATGAACAGCTAGATGCCTCATAACCCTTTTCTCTTTAACATACAAACCTCAAATGGTTATTTTTAAAGGGGCTCTGTGCTGTGCATGCTCCTTAGCCCTCACAACTCCCCACTTTCAACCACAACAGCAAAACAGAAGCAGCAGTAACAAAATGTAACTGGATTCTCACAGGAAAACAGTGCAGAGCCGTTATCACTGATGAAGGAGCGAGTGGCACTTGTCGAGGAAAAGCTTGACTAGACTTTTATTACCAAACTAACCAGGATATGGCATAAGTACCTTATACTGGGCATGGTGAAAACTTCATTACTTATGAAAATATTCAAGGAGACGAATTCAGTGCTGCTGATAATGACTGTACATTCCAGAACAGAATTACGTTCATAGATTTTTAAATATTTTTATATTTAATTTTCTTTTTAATTATAAAATGACATAAAATATAGAGAATATTGAATATAATGAACGCTCATGAATTCATCACCCAGATTTTATAGACAGATATCAACAATTTGCTAGCTCTCCTGCTCCAGTGCCCTATTTCTTTTTCAAAAGTGTAAATAAATCTTTCAGGACTAAAGGCAACGCTATAGGAAAAGAAAACAGACCAGTGATTGCCAGGGGTTGAGGTGGGGGTTTTCTACAAAGGCTTTGGGGAGACACTGGGGGCAATGAAAATGTTCTATCTTTTGATTGTGGTTTTATTTGTCAAAATGCATAGAAATGTACACTAAAAAGAATGGATTCTATTCTTTTTGAATTATACCTCAATAAACCTGACATAAATGAAACAAACAAAAATCTCGAAAGGCTCACGGAGAAACACCTTGCACAGGTGGCAGAGATGGCTCTCTGTATCACTGTTAACAATTTATTCCCACCTAAAAAGTATGGGGCGAATTTCAAGTGTCCTAGGTCGGTGCCCACAAAGCCAAATAAAACCTGGCCTGTTTCCACTGCAGTTTCTGTTGGAAAAACCAAGAAGGTTGGGCCTGCGTTCAGTAAGACCTTCCCCTCGGCTGGAGGGGGAGGGGAGGTCATCGGAGAGGCCCTGCTGCAGTTATCCAGGGAGCCCTTCCTGCTGAGCAGGCCTCGGGTGCCCAGAAGGTCATTGCTACCAAGGAGGGAGGCTCCCCAGGCTCCCGGAGTCACAGCACACCTGAGCTGCCCTCTACAGAGCCTCGCTGGAAGCATGCATGTGGCAGGAGGAAGGAAGGAGGGGAGGGAGCCTCTCTAATATGCAGCCTGAATATCTCACAGCGCAGGCCCGGATCCTGGCAGTTTAGATCCTCTGATGATTGCCGGGACACTGGCGGAAAGACAATGTGGGAAGCAATTTAATCAAGGCGGTTGGAGCCATCACCACAGAATAAAGCCATCTGCAGTGTCGCCTCGGACTCTC